AATCTGCCACACACCCACAAATATTGTCTTGCTCTGCAGTGCCCCATCTCTGAGAGCGTATCTCTTATTCAAAGCCAGCCCAGTGTGCCAGTAAAACAAATAGAGCTGATGATACACAAGAGAGGATTGTTTGCGTGCACAGTGCTAATGAGCACTCTGTTTCGTTCAGCACCGCTCCTTGCTGCCTGGTATAAATGTCCTTTAACAGAAGTATCAATGCAGACAGACTCCAAAGTGAGATTTAATTGCATTCAGGAGAATATGCATACAGAGTTACTACAATCGGTCACATGACTTTTATGTTCTTCTCTAGTGCACTCCTTAACCCATTTTTGTTCATGTTTTGTCTTACTTGTAGGTCTGTGATTCAGATACCATGCTTGATCCAGCCTCATCAGTGGAGATGGTAAAGGTTTTGGAAGAAGATCCAATGGTTGGAGGAGTTGGCGGTGATGTGCAGGTGAGTATCATGATTTTCAGATTAACAGAGGGGTTTCAGCAGCCGTTTGCACTGTAACAGATTTGCCTGACTGGAATAGCTTTGAATATACTCTGATACCATTATAGAGGCTATCATGAGACCTCAACCTTTCTGTCTGTTGAACAGAAACCCTTATTCTGAGATATGACTGCTGCATGGTTTTAACACCCATAGACAGCAAACAAATATTATTCTTCCCCATGTACGTGAAAAGAGTGGCACTGGCATTGTCAGGATAGTTGTGGCATCTGAGTCTCTGCGTATAGCTGCTTGGTCAGAGTACCAAAGAAAAGCTGTAAGGGAGTAGGGAATTGAGGACAGCTCTCCCAAAGCCAAGTCCAGCATCCCAAGCACTTCAATTATGTTACCACTGGCAGCCAAGATTGTTAGGAATGAAAGCCTTTTTGAAATGCAGTGCACTATGCACGCTGTATTGTTGGGTTTCCTCTGCGTCTCTGTTGGGCAGGACAATGGAAAGTCCCCAAGTCAGCCCAGCTCCACTTCTGTTAGGACTTCCAGCACTGCTGAGTTTGGCTAACTACAGCAAAAGGCTGTTCATTCCTTTTGATACAATTGCTTCTGCTGCAATTTATAAAGAAAAATGCATATGAATATTTCAGTTGGCCTTGGGATCAGTCCCCCGTACTCAGCTGGGCTTTTATGTGAGACCAAGGAGAAAGGGCCATCTCTGTGGGCAAGCACTTGCTAATGAACGCCCCAGGAGTCAGAAGTATTTCAGGCATGTGGCTCTTAACTCCAGAAATTCAGATTCCCACAGAAGCCTGAATATCTTTGTGGCTCTGGACTGACCACGAACCAGGCATCACACTCACCCTACACATGTGAGATGCCAGGCATGTGTGAGCACATCTGGAAGGAGACAGTATGGGCTCAGCTATGACAGTGAAGGTTCATAAGTATCTGCAGAGAGAGGGAAGGATGTGTGTCCTCTGGGAGGAAAGGTGGCAGTATGAAGGCTCTGGGCTTTTTTTTGTTTCCTAATTCACTTTCCAGCATACACCAAATACATTTGAGCCACACTTGAGCCTATCCCTGGGCCCTACTGTTTCTAAGATGTTCTGGAATGAAGCTGAAACAGAGACAAGTCGGGCCCTTGGCCTTCAAACCTGACAGGAATTAAGGCTAATGGAGCAAAACGCTATTTTTTTTCTAGTTGCAGAATACTGCTTTCTAGTTGTAGAAGGCCACAAGTTCCCCTGAAAATCCTCACACTGAGAAAATACCGGTGCAGAACTGGCACAGCCACCCTGCTACACACTTCCTTGCCACATTCACCAGCGCAGAGTGTGTGCTGAGAACACAGGTGTGAAGACATGAACTTGGGTGTCTGCATGTGCTCATGCCTCCATGGAGTGTTCAGACTCCTAGACTCCTACTTGTATTTTAAGTGTAGGCTTGAGCTTCAGGTGAGCTTTGGGGCACACAGAAGAGAAAGACTGGGACCTTTATGCAGGCCAAAGCATGACTCTGCTGGAGTATCACAATATATCTTGGGGCAACATAACATGGCTAGTACTGCAGAGACAGAACAGATTGTTCTTCAGAGGGCTTAATGTCAGATATAGGGACATTGTCCAGGGTCAAACCTCTAGGGTAAGCCTTATGATACCAAAAATGTAGGCTTAAGACCATGTGCTCACCCTTTCTCATGCACTGGAATAGCTTTACAAGGGCTAGAAGAAGTCCTATGAGTCCCAAAGATGTGGTCAAGGGAGACAAAGAAGCAGAAGGTCACACCTGGGATTCCACCATCTCCTCTCAGGAGAGGCTGGGACCAGTAGGTCCTTAACTGAGGTGGAAGGGAAAGGACGAAAGAGCTAGAAAAGAAGTTTCTTGGTGGACAAGAGGAAAGGTTGTGAAGAAAAGGACAATATTTTGGTGGAACAGACTTTTAGAAGGTTTCCTCTCACCTTTCCTGTCAATGTTCTGGACTGTACAGGTAACTCCTGGATTTGTCATGAGTTGGACACAGGAGCAAGGTTCCCTGTATATTTTGGCTAATGGTGCTCTAGTCTCTGCAAATTCCTTATTTATCCAATGTGTGCATTTTCTTTCTCAAGAGCTCATCTAGAATGAAAAATGTTTGTATTTTGCAGATTTTGAACAAATATGATTCCTGGATATCCTTTCTGAGCAGCGTGAGATATTGGATGGCATTTAACATAGAAAGAGCCTGTCAGTCCTATTTCGGCTGTGTACAGTGCATCAGCGGACCTCTGGGAATGTACAGAAACTCTTTACTCCATGAATTCGTGGAAGATTGGTACAATCAAGAATTTATGGGCTCCCAGTGCAGCTTTGGAGATGACAGGCATCTAACTAACAGAGTGCTAAGTCTGGGCTATGCAACAAAATACACAGCTAGATCCAAGTGCCTTACTGAAACACCGATAGAGTATCTCAGGTGGCTGAATCAGCAGACCCGCTGGAGTAAATCGTACTTTAGAGAGTGGCTTTATAATGCAATGTGGTTCCACAAGCACCATTTGTGGATGACCTATGAAGCTGTAATCACTGGATTCTTTCCTTTCTTCCTTATCGCCACAGTCATTCAGCTGTTCTACAGGGGAAAAATCTGGAACATCCTCCTCTTCCTCTTGACAGTTCAGTTAGTGGGCCTGATAAAGTCTTCCTTTGCCAGCTTCCTTAGGGGCAACATTGTCATGGTTTTCATGTCACTCTACTCAGTGTTGTACATGTCAAGTTTACTGCCAGCAAAGATGTTTGCAATTGCCACGATAAACAAAGCAGGGTGGGGTACGTCAGGAAGAAAAACCATTGTAGTTAATTTTATAGGACTCATTCCAGTCTCCATTTGGTTTACAATCCTCCTAGGTGGTGTAGTTTTCACTATCTACAAGGAATCAAAAAAGCCATTTTCTGAGTCAAAACAGACAGTTCTCATCATTGGCACAATACTCTATGCATGTTACTGGGTTATGCTGTTGACTTTGTACTTGGTTCTTATCAACAAATGTGGCAGGCGGAAGAAAGAGCAACACTATGACATGGTGCTAGACGTATGATGTTTCTGTGGGAAGTTACCCAGAGAGTTGTAAAGCACCCCAACGACCTTGTAGTATCTGTGGCATCAGACAAATGTTGCCAAGGGAAATGGATCATTGCTGCTGGGAATAGGACATTTATATTCCTCTGGGTTCATTTTCATCCTGCCAAAGTAAGAAAAAAAAAAGAAATAAAAAATGATTTTTTTTTTCCAAGGGGGAGAAAACACAAACCACACATTTTCGACCTGTTCGCAAGAAAATGGGAGAACTTCTATGTTTATGCACTTTTTTATTGTGCATATGCCTGACAGTGTTACGTTCTATATACCTCACTGGTCATGCTTATGTGTGTGGACAGGAAGGAAAGGACTTTGAAGAATCAAGAAAAGGATGTTACAACCCCTTGCAACCTAATTTATGAACTTCTCTTTTTTATAGTTCTGTTTATAGGAAGGGTCTTTTGTGTTAGGCTGCCAAATGTAATGCCAAAGGTAAATTTTAAGAGGCCATTGGCTGAGCTGTATTTTTATATTATTGTATTATGTGTGTGTGTGTATTTTTAAGCCAACTTTTTTTTTTAAATCACATATTTTATATTTTACTATCTGCCAAAAAAAGCTGCCTCCCCAACAGTTTGTTCTTTAGCCTTTTTAAATACATTAAGGAAAAAAAAATCATACTTCCTCCCCTAAAATTTGTGCTGAATTGATTTTGTTCACAACAGAAAGAATAAAAAGTCTCTCTGCATTTTTGCAACTGATGAATGGTTATTTCTGTGAAGAAGCATTTATATGTGCTCTTTGAAGACATTTATTAGGAAAGGCCCAACATTGTCGGTTTTTGAATACAAGCATATTTGTGTGTAAAAAAAGGCCAAAGGGGTAGATATGTGCAATTTGGGGTTTTGTTTTGGATAACATTGTAAAAGGGAAATTTGCTCCTCTGCTGAGAGCATAATGTCCCTGGCATGCATCATAGCCATAAGGCAAGGCAGGCCTTCATGCCATTGGAGAAGATATCGCCATAGGAAAGCTCCCACTGATTTTACATGGGACCTGAGGAGTCAAAACCTTCTGATCTGGAGAAATATTGGACACCCAAAACTACTATTGACTTCACTGATGGTCGTAGTTGTTTGTAATCTGCTGGTATCAAGTAAATAGTTCAGATTTTTTATTTTAAAAAATACATGGAAGGAAAATTTATCAACACTTTCCAAATGTGGGTGTCTTACTATAAAACTTCTGCAATTCCCTTCACAAAGTTTACAGAAAATACAAACATCAGCTTCTCTGACATCCAGTATAATACAGACCCCAGTACTGAGCCCAATAATTTGTGTTTGAATAAAGCATATCTACCACAAAATAAGCCAATTTTTTATCAGAAAACATCAAGTCTTAGAAAATCCATCACTTCCTTGGTGCGTAATAATCAGTCTTAGACATTTATTTTGGACCATGGTTTCGAGAAATAATATTCAGGACTAAATTCTGCAATCCTTCACCAGCCAAAGGAATGTGGCATTGAGCCCTAATATGCTTTATAAAGAGCAACAGAAAGCCAGCTGCATACAGATACACGCCCTTTTTAGATTCTGGTATTAAAAGCACTGTGGTAAAGCAGAAATCAGCATATGATGCTTAAAGAATTTAGAAGCATTTTCAGCTTCTCTTTTTTATGCAGACATGAATAGATTCTGCTGTAGAATGAACTGCACACACACTACCTTATTTCTCTGATTATCTTGAGGTACATGATTGCTTGAAAGTCATACTAATATTATGTTAATGATTGGAGAGTTGATTCATGTTGATTACAAAATAGAACAGTATTAAAAAAAGCAAAAGAAACAGTAAAAGTAAAAAAAAAACTTGACTATGCTTTTTAACTATTTATGATGTAAGTTAAAGCTTGGGTTAACATTCAAATGTCAAATAAATCCTCTCATTCTATAAAAAGATTGAATTAATTGCCTGTATTTATTCTAGCAATTATTCAATGTACTTCCAGTATAGGTTGTATAGTATAATTGTTACTTTCATAAATAAAATATTTTTGATAAGATTATGACTAATTTATGGTATTTCTGATCAGCACTTCTGCTTTGAAGCCATAATTCTGCATGGTTTGAAGAATGTCATTACAGTGCTGCCAGCCTGATGTCCAAGTAGGAGCTTGCCATCGCGTAGCAGAGCACCGGGGAGCCTGTGCCTGGAGGAGGAGGGGGCTGGTCCCTGCGCTGAGAGGCAGCGCAGGAATTGGGAACCACAGGTCCCCCCTGCACTGGTACCTGGCACTCCGGTGGCACAATATGTGGGTAGCGCTTGGTGTCTCTGCCCGCCTCTGCCAGTAGCTGCTGGGTAATTCAGTCAAAACGCTTCCTTCCCTTTTTTCCTCAGCTTCTGGATTTGTAAAACAGGAATAGCAATCCAGCCTCCTTTTGGGAAGTGCTTTGAAGTACTTTAGATGAGAGCTGATATTTTCCAGCCCTTGTGTCCACTGGAAGGTACTGCCCTCCATAGCTGGGGAAGCAGAGGAGAACATGTACCTGGCCTTCTCCGGCTCCTCGTTACTGCTATTTCTCAAGCTCCCTTTGCCCTGGCACAGATGAAGTGCATGTATGTATTTCCCACTGCTGAGGGTTACAGACAGCAGCTGCTGGCAGAGGGACAGTGACCAGGGACCAAAGCTACATCTCACACATCTCTCACACCATGACAGGTCTATTACTTAGGAGACAGCTTCTCAGCACTCAGCGCTTGTCTGATATGAGATATGATATATATCCTATGTCTGGATACTGCGCCCGCTTTTGGGTCCCCCAGTACAAGGAAGTAATTGATAAACTGGGGTGAGTTCAGCGCAGGGCCAGCGTGATGGTTTGGGCTGGAGCAGAGGGGCAGAGAGAGCTGGGCTGGTTTAGCTGGAGAAAGGATGGCTTTGGTGGGAGGACACCTAAGGTCCTCTCCAATACCCATAGGGAGGTCGTAAGAAGATGGAGCCAGGCTCTTCACACTGCTGCCTGGTGGGAAGATGAAAGACTCCCGGTTTTAGCTGAAAGGGGAGAAGCTTAGACTAGGTATAAATAAGGACTTCTTCCTCACAAGGACAGCCAGACATCGCAGCAGGTTGCCAGGACAGACTGCAGCCTCCATTGTGGGAGTTTGAAGCCTAGACTAGATAAAGTCCTGAGATGCCTGGTCCGACCTCAGAGCTGCCCCTGCTTTGAGCAGGAGGTTAGGCTAGAGACCTCCGAGGCTCCTTCCAACATGAATTCTCCTGTCATCCTTTCTGAAGCAGGTGCTGACAGTCTGCTTCCTAATGACAGCTCCCACCCCCACGGAAGCTCATTCCCATCCTTGTTCCCCACACATCCGCCCTGACCCCGGGCACAAATAGCTCGTCAGCAGCTGGTACTGACTACCCAGAAAAATCAGAGCCCTTCCTGTCACTCTGCATCCCCACCGTGTTTACGGCTGTGTAAAAAAAAAAAAAAGGTTTCAGCGGAAAACAAGACTACAAAACAGTTCTTAATGAAAATGTTCTTAGACAAATTAAATTCTTCAATAACATTTCCTCTGCTCATTTTCATGTCAAAATTATTTCTTTGTATTTCCAACAAATTTTAGTTCTTGGAAAACAATAAAATGTGTTTTTCATTAATAGCAAATATAATTGTGAGATCTCTGTCAAAAGAACAAAACATATTAAAAGAAAAATTCGTGCTTTGTTTTGAACTTTTTAAAAAACACAGATATTTTTCAGCCATCTCTGATAGACAGATGGTGCTGAAAACTGTAAGAAACTCCCACAAACTAGAAATTCTACAGAAAAGTTAAAAGACAATCTTTCAACCCCCTCCCCCCCCCCCCCCCAAAAAAAAAAAAGGCAATGAACTGCCAATATCTCAGATTATAACCTATTTCCAGAGTGGAGTAACTTGGGTTTGAGAGTGTCTGTTTGCAGAGACCAGGTGTGAAGCAAAACCTGTGGCAATCAATCAGAGGTGCAGCAGAGAGGAAGGAGCCCTCCTGTTCTGTCTGCTAACAAGCTTTGGTTTGGCCCAGAATCAGGTTTCTTTCAATAGGAAATGCATTAATATTTAGCAGAACTTTTCCAGGAGGCGGAAAAAATCCTGTCAGACATGTACTGCCAAACATGTCCCGATGCACAAGCTGTTGCGAATCTGTCTGTTAAAAAATTTTGTCTGAATGTTATTCTTAGCAAGTGATAAGATGGTAAAGAGGAGACAAGATATATTGAAAGCTGTTGATGAGGTTTGGTACTACCGAGGCTTTGTTGGAAATGCCACTTCTCTTCGGAGCTAACACAATTAACTTAAACTTAGTGCAATTTTTTTCCCGACTTTCACTTGGCCGAAGTATGCTGCTTCAGTTTCAGATCGGATCGACGGATGAGTGCCCCAAATTGTTGCTGCTTCTTCCAGCATTTTGTATAATAAGGGATTCTGTCTTTCCCAAACAAAACCAACTTGAGTTTTCTTCTAGAATAGCCCTAAAATGTCTGTAAGTTACCATGACTGCACAGAGGAAAATGGTCCTGTAGTTACATTTACACTACATAAATGAGACACCTAGGCCATGTATCCTAGCTTTGGTACATGATAATACTCTGTACCGTTCAAGTATAAGCATGGTCCGTGGCATGTTTCTGCCATGGGCCAGATAGTGCTGCCCCAAACAATGTTGGACACAGGTAGAAGAAATGCATGGAGTGGGAACCAGACTGGTTTGGGGGATTGTAGTGATCTCTGTCATCAGCTGGTCTCAAGATTGAAGAACAGTCCTGGCTTTTTTTTTTAAATATAAGCTATCAATACCTCACTGAGGAGAACAAGACATGGTCAGCTCGGTCTTTACGGGATATCATGCACACAGGATCTTAGTCTCAAGAAATCAGTAGATGTTATTAGTTCTGCAGCTCTTGAAAACAACTTCTTTATTTTTCTTTTTTTTTTTCCCTTTTTTTTTGTTTTTTTTTTTTTTCCCAGTTAAGAATCCCCACATGTTTTTTAATTCCTTTGGTCATATGCAGGAAGCAAGAACCAGCACCACCCAGGAATCAAACGTTACTGTAGTCACAGCGCTCAGGGTCCACGACCCGTGGCATTACTACTTCCATTGCTGCTTTGACAGCACTCCTGCTGGGCTGCCTTTCTCCTGGTAGCAATCTACTTCCGTTTGCTCCAGGTACAACACACCTTGTAGAAATTAAATGGTTATGAGGCAAACTTTTTTGGCTGCTTCTCACAAGGTTTACTAAGAAGACGGAGCATGAAGGGCTTGCTTGTGATCAGTGCTGCTTTATACTACTCAAGAGAATGATGTCTGGAATTTAACATTATCAGTCACATTATTAGGCATTAGAAAACCCACACAAAGAGTATGCAAGTCACAAGAGTGACAGCTAGCAAGTGAATCACAGGAAATTATATTTTGTAAGATCCTCAGCCCATATAATTATTTATTTTACAGTTTCCAGGAGGGAAATCATCACTTTTAACTATGCCTCTACCCTACAACACTTTGGAGACACATAAAACACAGTAGCCATGAAGAAGTGAGGTGAATGTGACTAAAAACA